GCAAGATGAAAAACTGGCCCGAGGGAAAGGGTCGGGACTTCCAGGGACGCCGCCCTGAAAGAATCGGGACGTCGCATGTCTGGGGAGGCCTTCCCAGAAGGCGGCGGGGCTTCTCAGAAGCCTTCCAGCCCTGTGAGGGAAGTGTCCTGCGTCTTCGGGAGAGGGCTCAGAAAGCTTCTCACTCAAGGCCGTGGGACTTCCGAGCCTTCGGAGAAGGCCTTCCCCTTCTCGCTTCCCCCCCGGGCTCGCCGCCGACTTACGCACGATGGGAGGAGGAGGAGGAGGAGGAGGAGGAGGAGGAGGAGGAGGAGGAGGAGACGTCTTCTGCGCGGGGGCTTTCGCGGGCCGCGCCGGGCCGCCAGCGCGGCACGCCGCACGAAAGCAGGGCGCCTGCGCGCGGCCTTCCGTGCGCCAGCGTGCGATCGGATGTCGGCGCCGTCGCCACATTTTCGGCGACGGCTCCTCCTCCTCCTCCTCCTCCTCCTCCTCCTCCTCCTCCTCCTCCTCCTCCTCCTCCTCCTCCTCCTCCTCCTCCTCCTCCTCCTCCTCCTCCTGTGTCAGGGGGGCTCTGGCAGTAGCGAAGAAAGAATGGTCCCTTTCCCCAACTGTTGAACCAATGATTGCACCTCTGCCTCTGTCGCACCGCCGGACGCGGCCACAGGCCGGGCCTGGACGTGCTGCTCGAGTCCCGAGGCCAAACAGTTACAAGGATGGAGGGCTGGGCATTTCCAGAATGCGGCACTCGCCTCAGCGCCGCGCACACTCATGTTAAAACGCTCCACCAGCTGCAAGGATGAGGACTGGTGGTTTCCAACTAGCCTTATCGCTGCGCACACTCGTTTCAGAAAACCCAGCAACAGCTACAAGACAGGAGGCCGTCTCGCTTTCCACATCGAGATCTCGCCTTAGCGTCAAGCACGTTCCTCTTAAAAACCAAGTAGATACGAAGATGGAGGGTGGTTCTTTTCGAAACTGCGCCGCGTACACTCGTCTTACTAAAGTCATGCAGTCACACTAACGGCGGGCAATTCCTTTCCAAATGGGGATCCCGCCTCGGACTTGCTCAAATGCTACCGAAGTCAATTTTGTGCAACAGCACGCGGATGGAGAATGCCTCCTTCTTTGAAGGGGGCTCTCGCATGAGACGTCCTCTACTTAAGACGAGAGCTTTGGAGGTCGAGCCCTGCACACCCCACAGGAGGCCCTTCATGACAAACGCCCGCCCAGTCTTGCAGCCGCTCCCCCTCCCCCTACCGCGGAGGGGGCGAGGGAGGAAACGCCTGGCGCGGATAGGATGGCGGCTGGAGAAGGGCGGCCTTCTACGAATGCCTGGGGGGCGCCTTGCGATCCCTCCTGGCTTCTAAGAGGCCGCCTGAAAAGGCCCCCGGGGCCCTTCTGGAGGAGGCCCCCTTTCGTCCAAGAAGCCCCCCGAAGCCTCGCAGGAGGCCGATCGCCTCTCGCACCATGCCCCTGGTGCGGTGCGCGCCGGCGCACGGAGAGGGACGAAGGGGGTGGGCGGTGGGACACGCGGGCGAGGAGTCTGCGGACGACGAGCGGCACAACCTGTTCGCCAGCATGGCCCCCACACACAGGGCGCCATCGCACCGTGGAGGCGAAAAAGCTATGCGGTGCAAAGCTGTGTGGTCCAGAAAGCCACGCGTGAGCTGACGAGTTGAGATCCGTGCGGAGCAAGCTGAGTGGTGTCGGCTGTGCCGTGTAAGCTTGGAGAGCGAGCTGGAGGCGAAAGCTATGAGGTGCAGGCTGTGCGACGTACACCCTGCGAAATGCTTAAGAAATCATGGGTTAAGAAATTCATAGTCTCAGAACTTGAATAAAAACCTAAAGCTTCCATTCAAATCTTAGGATTTACATTGAAACATTAAGAATAATCGAGACTCTGGCCGAAAATGTAAGTTTTCTTAAGCATCGCCTAAGGTGTAGGCTAGGTTGCGTAGCATCTGCGGCGCAAGCTATGTGGTGCAAGCCGTGCGGCGCAAGCTGAGAGCGCGGGGCGCCCACGAGGCGGCACGGGCGGCAGCGTGGCGCGGCCTCGGCACAGCCCCGAGCGCGGAGCGCCCGCGAGGCGCCCGCGAGGCGGCGACGTGGCGCGACCTCGGCATCCACGGGGCGTCCACGGGGCGCCACGGGCCGCAACGTGACGCAGGCCCCTCCTCCTCCTCCTCCTCCTCCTCCTCCTCCTCCTCCTCCTCCTCCTCCTCCTCCTCCTCCTCCTCCTTGAGTCCTCGAAACGCCCTCAGCTGTTAGGACAAGGAAGATAGCCCCTACAGGGAGCCTCTCTTTTGGAGCTTCTCGGGGGCCTGCTGGCGGGCTCGGGCGCCATCTCTCGGGGCAGCCTCGACACGTGAGTTTGTGTTCCCCCTCTGAGGGTTTTCTTGGGGGCCTCTGCATTTCTCGTGGGAGACCTCTTGGGCCGTCTTGGAGTCCTCTTGGAGCCTCTTGGGCTGACTTGAGGCGGTCGTGGCGGCTTCTTGGCCCATCCTGGGCGGTCTAACAATCCCATCATTGAATTAAAAATGTGCTTCAGATGTGTAAAACATGTTCTAAAAAAAAATGTCAAACATGTGTGTTTGGCATAACTAAAACATATTTGGAACATCTTTAGACATCTGGAACTTATTTGGCAGCACGCTTCCTCTCCATGAATCGACTTCCACAGAGCAAGCACTGTCCGGGGAATCAGCCCTGCTGCAGTCGCCCGGGGCGGCTGGAAAGCTCTGCCGCTCCGTCCCTGCGAGTGCCCCTCGGGGTGGAAAACCTGCCCAGCCACCGTGGGTCGGCTGCGAGCCTGGCGAGGGGGAAGTGAGCTGGGACGGGCCTTCTCGGAAGGCTCGGAGGCCCCCGGCCTTCTGAGAAGTGCGAGGCGGGGATCTATCCACATCCACCGCCCGGGAACCGACGCCCCGGTGCCACAGCGGGCGGTGGACATGGATATATATATTATATATATATATATATATACATATATATATATATATATATATATATATATTCCGGCCCCCGGGGGCCCGAGCATGTCCACATCCACCGCCCGCCGAGGCTCCGAAAACCGACCCTCCAGGCGGTGGAAATGTGGACAAATTCCCGCCTCGGGAAGAGCCGAAGCCCTCCCCGAAGACACATTCTGAGAAGGCCTTCTCTTGGGGGGCGGCAAGATACGGATACGTGTTGTCCCCGGACCTCTCTTGGGGTGCGCTCTGACCCGAAACTCGAGGCGAATCCAGCGGTGACAACGAGGACTCCCCAGGAGGACCAGGCAAGGCCGAAAACGACGGGGGACAGCACGTATCCGTATCTTTTTCTCCCCCGATTCTCCTTCTCACTTCCCCCCCCTCGCTCGCCGCCGACGGTGCGTTCCGGGTCGCCGCTCGGATCTCCGGCGGCCGCTCGGGACGATCCCGGCACTCCCCGGAGCGCTCTCGGCGAGGCGCAGCCGCCGGAACGCCTCCCGTGGGCGGGTACTCCAGATTTCGTAAGAAAGGGAGGGGGGTCTCATTTCGGGGGGGGTCTCTTCCAGGCCATCTTGGAGGGCCCGGGGGGGTCTGGGGACGATGTTTTGGAGGGTTCTCCCACGGGCGGGGTCTGAAATGGCTTGTCTTGGAGGGTCCAGACCCCCTCCCTTTTATTACGAGATCTGGAGTAACCACCGAGAATCGACGAGAGCGCCAGAGAACCGAGAGCCTCGAAGTTCGAGCCTCGAAGTCCTCCCCCCCCCCTGCAGCTCGAACCAGCGAGCGCCCCGAGGGCGGAAGCTCTGCCGCGCTTCGTCCGCTGCGCGAGGAGAAGGGGCATCACACACGAGTCACCGCACCGACCTTGCAGACGCGACGCAACGACTGTTCGCGTGGATTTCTGTCAATGCGCAACCCCGACGCGGCGAGCGAAAAACGAAGAGACTCTCACGCGGACTTAACCCGAGTCCCCATTCCTGGCCAAACGAGATCCGCACGAAATCCACCTCGACATCCGGAACGGCACTCTCCAGGACAGTCCAGGCCTGGGCCCCTTGTTTCTCGAACGCAGTCCGCCCTGCGGTGTGGGCACCATCGCACGCGAGGGCGCGGCGTCCTCACACGGGGGGGAGGGGGGGCCCCGCTGGCGACACGCCACCGTTGGCACAAGGGCTAGGTCGGGCGTGTTCCCTACAGGGGGGATTCTGGACAGAAAAATCATCAAAAAATAGCCCCCAAATCATCAAAACCCGCTCCAACACTCGTCCCCCGACCATGTTTGGACCATCTTTGCATCACAGGGGGGATCCTGGACAAAAAAAACAAAAAAATCATCAAAAAATAGCCCCCGAATCATCAAAAGCCGCTCCAAAACTCGTCCCCCGACCATGTTTGGACCATCTTTGCAGCCTCCTCCTGCAGAGGGACAGGCCCGACTTCACGCAAAGGGGGGGGGGGGCCCGCTCGCGGCACGCCGCTGCTGGCACAAGGGGGGGGGGGGGGGCTCCCGTGGGCCCTGCGCGGGCAGCCGGCGCGCCGCGGCCGTGCTCCTGCGACGCCACTCGCGCGCACGTCGAGAGCGCGCGCATCGCTCCAGCGATCCCTGGCCTTGTGGCTGCCACGGCAACGGACACTCGAACAATCCGAGCATGGAATGAAGGATGTGTGTTCAGAATGTGCTTCTAGACATGCTTCAAGCGTGTTTGATTACGTGCTGGAAAAAAAACATATCTGAAACATCTTCTAGGCATCGGGAAACTATTTGGCAGCATGCTTCCTCTCAATGGATCGTCCTCCACAACCCTATCCCCACTCGCGTGGCCTGGGCCCCGCTGGCCGGTTTACCCCCCCCCCAGATCCTCAGATGGGGACATGGGCATGTTCTGTCGGATTTCGAGGGGCACATCCCCAACTGGGGGGATGAGATGGTGGGGGTCTGGATGGGGATGGGGATGGGGATGGGCATCGGTGAAAGGATACTGAGAGTGGCCACCTAGAGACAGGAGAGAGGAGATTGGCTGGAATGGGTGCCAGCGTTGACACGGATGTCGCAGTCGTTGACCCCGTGGTACTGGCGGTGCTGGTCCGGGACGTGGAGCTCGACTCTGTAAAGGTGCTTGTTGTGATAGTGCTGGTCCGGGACGCGGAGCTCGACTCTGTAGCACTGCTTGTTGTGACAGTGCTGGTCTGGGACGTGGAGCTCGACTCCGTAGTACTGCTCGTTGCCGTAGTGCTTGTCCGGGAGCTCGTCTGTGTAGTACTACTTGTTGACGTACTGCTGCTCTGGGACGTGGAGCTCGACTCCGAACGACTGCTTGTTTCTGTAGTGCTTGTCCGGGACGAGGAGCTCGACTGTGTAATGGTGGAAGTCGAGCTACTGCTTGTCGCTGTAATGCTTGTCCGGGACGAGGAGCTCGACTGTGTAATGGTGGAAGTCGAGCTACTGCTTGTCGCTGTAATGCTTGTCAGGGTCGAGGAGCTCGACTGTGTAATGGTGGACTTCGAAGTACTGCTCGATTCTGTAGTGCTGACCGTTGTGCTGCTCGTTTCTGTGATACTGGTACGGGAGATGGTGCTCGACTCCGTGTTGGTGGACGCTGTGGCACTACTCGACTCTGTAGTGGTGGAACCCGTGGTTCGCGACGTACTGCTCGACTCCGTAAAAGAGGACACCGAGATGCTGCTCGTTTCCGTAGTACTGCTACGGGACGTGCTGCTTGATCCTGTAATGGTGGACCCCGTCGTACTGCTCGTTTCCGTAGCGCTGGTCTGAGAAGTGGTGCTCGACGTCGTAATACTTGACACCGTGGTACTGCTCGTTTTCGTCGCGCTTGTCCGCGACGTGGAGCTCGACTCCGTGATTGTGGACACCGTGGTACTGCTCGATGCTGTAGCGCTGGTCCGCGATGTGGTGCTCGACTGAGTAGTGGTGGACACCGTGGTACTGCTCGATGCTGTGGCGCTGGTCCGCGATATGGTGCTCGACTCCGTAGTGGTGGATCCCGTGGTACTGCTCGTTCTGGTAGTGGTTGTCCCCGACGTTGTGCTTGACTCCGTGGTGGTGGATCCAGAGGTACTGCTTGTTGCCGTAACGCTGGTCTCAGACGTGGAGCTCGACTCTGTAATGGTCGACACTGTACTAGTGATCGATTGCGTAGTTCTGGTGCTCGACGTGGTGCTCGATTCCGTAGTAGCTGACTCCGAAGTACTGCTCGTTTCCGTAACGCTGGACCTGGAAGTGCTGGTCTGGGAAATGCTGGTCTGGGAAGTGGTGGTCGATGCAGTAGTTGTGGACCGTGTGGTGCTGCTCGACTCAGTTGTACTTGACCCCGTGGTACTGGTCGACTCCGTAGTGGTGGTTCGGGACGTCGTGCTCGACTCCGTAGTTGCATAGACCGTGGTACTGGTCGTTTCTGTGGTGGTGTGCGCTGTGGTAGTGCTCGACGCCGTCGTGGTGGACACCGTGGTGCTGCTCGTCTCCGTAGTGGTGTGCGCTGTGGTCGTACTCGACTTCGTCGTGGTGGACACCGTGGTACTGGTCGATTCCGTGGTGGAGTGGACCGATGTACTGCTCGTTTCAGTAATGGTGGTATGTGAAAGGCTGGTCCTGGAAGTGGTGGTCGATGCAGAAATGGTGGACCCCGTGGTACTGCTCGTCTGCGTGGTGGTGTGCACCGTGGTGCTGCTCGACTCCGTCGTGGTGGACACCGTGCTCGACCCCGTGGTAGCGGACTCCGAAGTGCTGGTCGTGGCAGTCGTCGCCGTGCTACTTGGCAATGGGGGTTGCATTGGATCCGGAGTGGGATCCGGCGTTGGTGCGGACGTCGGGGGAACAGGCGTCGGTGCGGCCGTCGGCGCCGCTGTTGGAGACCCCGTCGGCACTGCCGTGGGCGCCGGAGTCGGAGCAGAGGAGGGGGTCGCGGTTGGCGCCGGGGTTGGGGTCGACGTCGGAGCCGCCGTGTGCCCCGGAGGCAGCGGAGTGGGAGCTGGGGTCGGTTCTGGCGTGGGAGCATGCGTCGGCGCTACCGTGGTCCGGGACGTGGTGCTCGACGCCGTGGTGGCCGACGCTGTGGTAACCGTCGTCTGCGTGGCGCTGGTCCCCGACGCGGTGCTCGTGGCCGTCGCGGTTGACTCGGTGGTGCTCGACCTCGTCGAGGAGGACGTGTGAGTCCTCGGAGGGCTCGGGCCAAGAGGAGGAGGAGGAGGAGGAGGAGGAGGAGGAGGAGGAGGAGGAGGAGGGGGAGGAGGAGGAGGAGGAGGAAGAGGAGGAGGAGGACGTGCGAGTCCTCGTGGTGCTGCTCGATTGCGTAGTGGAGTGGAAGGTGGTGGAGCTGGTCGCCGACGTGGTGCTCGACTGCGTGCTCGTGGGCGCCCCGCCACCGCCACAGGCGCAGCACATGTCGCTCGTCGTGAAGTCGGAGTCGTCGTAGTAGGCCGACCCGAAGCACTGGAACGGCAGCAGGTCGAAGTGCTGAGGGCGACGACGACGAGGAATACGACGCCGACGACGACGACGACGACGACGACGACGACGACGACGACGACGACGACGACGACGACGGCGGCAAGACAAAAACGACAGAACGACAACAGGACAACGACAGGACGACGACAGGACAACGACGATCGGCGTCGCCTGGAGACCGGTGGAGGTCCAACACACGCCCGAAAAAAATCAGCAACGACAACGACGACGACGAAGACCACGACGATGACGACAACGAGGACGACGACGACGACGGCGACGACGACGACGCGGCCTGGCACTGCTGCCCGTACAGGTTGGTCGCTTCGAAATGCGTGTCCTCGCAAGCGAAGGTCGGCTCCGGCGTTGCTTCAAGAGGGGGCGTCGGCTGCGACGTGGGCGCGGTGGTGGGTACCTCTGGCACGAGGGAGGCAGGGAGGGAGTGGAACGAGAGAGGATTGGGGGGGGGAGAACGAGAGAGGAGGGAGGGAGGAGAACGAGAGAGGAGGAGGGAGGGAGGAGAACGAGAGAGGAGGGGGGATGGAAGAGGGGGAGGAAGGGAAACGAAGAGGGGAGGAAGGGCGAGGCAGGCCCTTCTCCTCCAACTCACCCTTCGAATTTGCCTCCTCTTGCTTCTCTTCATCCCCCTGCGACGTCCTCCTCGTCCTCCTCCTCCTCCTCCTCCTCCTCATCATCATCATCATCATCAGCAGCAGCATCATCATCATCAGCATCAACGACATCGACAACAATATGATAGGCATCACCAGCAGCAGCAGCATCAGCATCGTCATCATCAATTGTATAATCATCCTTATGATCAGCAGCAGCATCAGCATCAGCATCAGCATCATCAGCATCATCATCATCAGCATCATCATCATCATCATCACCACCACCACCACCACCACCACCATCATCATCATCATCATCATCGTCATCATCAGCAGCAGCCTCGTCATCGTCCTCGTCATCGCCGTCGTCATCATAATATGAGGCATCATCAGAAACACCATCCGCAATATATCGTCCTCGTAGTCGTCGTCGGCATCATCAAGCCGTCATCATTAAGTCGCCATCATCATCGCCATCATCAGCATCATCATCATCAGCATCATCATCATCATCATCATCATCATCATCATCATCATCATCATCATCATCATCATCATCATCATCATCATCATCATCCGCATCATCGTCATCATCGTCATCATCGACTTCTTAATCGTCTCCGTCGTCGTTGTCGTCAGCACCTTCATGACCGTCGTCGTGGCCGTCGTCATTCCCACCACCATCATCAGCAGCACGATCTCCTCCACTTTCTCCTCCTCGTCACCATGATCATTATGCCTCTCCTCATCACCGCCTTTAGCATCTTCTTTTCCGTCTGTCCTTCTCTCCTCGAACCACGTCGTTTCTCAACTGCGCTGAGGCTCATGAACAACTCTTCCTCCTCCTCTTCCTCCTCCTCCTTCTCCTCCTCCTCCTCCTCCTCAGCCTCCTCCACCTCCTGCGCACGCTGTACGCGCTCGTAAGACCCCCACACGACCACCAATGCCACAAACTTGGGGGTGCCCCCATCCAGACAACCTTTCTGCACAAGCGGCTGGGGCCCAAGCTCAGCCAGCGGGCCCGCGACAGGGTGCGACCCGCAGGATCCTGGCCGGACTCGGCGAACTCGTGCGAACGAGCGGCGGCCCGCGTGCCAGCGAGTCTGCCCATTGCGCGGGGAACCGTGCGGTCTCCCGGGTGGGCTGTGAGCCACTCCCGTCATGATGTTCCAACCTACTTCAGCCCTGATCACCAGGAAGGATTCCGAACACCACGAAAGGGCCGCATCTCGAGGGTTTCCACGTGGCGGACCCTGCTGGGAGGCGAGATGCTCATTCGACACCGCTGCGACACTCTCCTGGGCGCTCGAGATCACTTCTGGGCTGTGGCCCTCCAGCACGATGGGAGCAGCAGAACACTCCCCGCCTGCCTCCCGGCCACGGCAGAGCATCGTGCACGACGCACTCGACCAGAGGCTCCAGGGTCTGGCCCGTCCGGGGCTCGAGGGGGGGGCAGGACGCCACGGCCCCTCGAGGGCGGGCCTCTCCCCTCGCCCTGCCCACCATCGCCCCTCCTCGCCCTCGCAGAGTTCGGACGCCCCGCTCGGACGGGACGCGGACGCCTGGGCCTCCAAGCTGCTTCGGCATCGTGACCCCTCCCGCCCCGCACACTCGGGGGCGGCCACGAGGGGGGCGTCCAAGAGGGGGGGCGCAAATCGTGGCCGTCGGGGTGTGCGCGGCCCATGGCGGGGGGCCAGGGACGCAATGAAATAAGAAGAGGCGCCATGAGATCTGAAGAAATATCATGGCCCATGCCATGACACCCACAAACCCCCTACTCATTACCCCCCTCTTGGCTGCCCCCGACACACCACTTGATCCGTGAGAGGCAAAACCCGGCGTGGAGGAGGCCAGCGCGGCCGGCGGAGAAGGAGGAGGAGGAAGAAGAGGAGGGGGAGGGGGAGGGGGAGGGGGAGGGGGAGGAGGAGGAGGAGGAGGAGGAGGAGGAGGAGGAGGAGGAGGAGGAGGAGGAGGAGGAGGAGGAGGAGGAGGAGCAGGAGGTGGAGGAGGAGCCATGACCAGACTTTGGAACGAGACGAGGGCGGGCGCAAAAGAGCAGGAGACGAGATGAGGGCAAGTCTATCCGTCAGTCCACTCTCGGTCTGATTGCAGTGAGCTCTCTCGCTGCGGGGGAGCGGGTGGCCTGAGCACGAAGCCGTGCACGGAGCGCGAAGCAAACAACGCCAGGCCCTGTTGCCTCACTGGCACGCTGCTGGCTTAAAGCAGCGTGCAACCCATCGACCGTCAGGGCAATCGAGGACAAGACAGACGAGCCATCCTCGAGACAGGCCGATGGGATAGTGAGAGCAGAGTAGGGGTCATCGCCCCAGTTGGATGGAAAGGCCAGCAGAGAGGCATGGACTAAAGAAGGCATACACGGGCACGACATGTGATGGGGAATCGCATCACCACCTACAGCATAGCAGCCAAACTAACATCTCCAGCGACCATTTCGACAAAGGCGCGAAGTGGCATTAGCCATGGTGGCTATAACCGAGGAAGCTATACATGAGCCTAGTTTCTTGCCTATCAGGACGCACCTGGACCTGGCCAGGTCCGCCTGGGAACGATCGGTCGGAATCCAGTAATTCAGCCTAGCACAGAAGGCAGGGGAAGGCGAGAGAGGAGGGAAGAGACGTAATAGTTCGCGAGCGAACTTGCTTTGTAATTCAGGACAAAAAAACAAGGGAACCGAGGGGATAGCGAGGAGCGAGTCGAAGTTCTTTAAGCATGTTGACGAATACCGAGGACTGATGCGTAGGCGAGCGCTGGTAGAACAACGTACATTCATTAGCGTGCTGGAATTCATGAAAGAAATTACGTAGACGGGTAAATTCATCATATTTCAGGGCGGCACGATATTGGGCAGCACGGGCATGGTGTGACAAAGTCCGAGTCGAGCAGCTGATGCCAAACGAGGTCGCATCTCACAACATAGCACTGGTGAAGGAATAGCGCGGTGCACACGGTAGGAGGAGGAGGAGGAGGAGGAGGAGGAGGAGGAGGAGGAGGAGGAGGAGGAGGAGGAGGAGGAGGAAGGATTAAATTAGGAGGAGGAGGCCCACCGCCGTAGCCTTTGTCGCGGGGCACCAGCCACCGTGCAGGAGGAGCGACGAGCGCAGCGCCACTTGGCTTCGCCATCGCGGCCACCAAAGGCCTCCCAGATGGGGTCCGAGCAGATGGGGTCGGAGGATCGCGCCGCATCGGCGACGTCTGCGAGGCACCGGCGCCAAAGGCGTAGAGAAAATCGGGCTCCACATCGAGCCGCATCGCCGATGCGTCGGCGATGCGGCGCGACCCTCCGACCCCATCTACTCCGACCTCATCTAGGAAGCCTAGAGCCACGCGCGCAGCGATGCGGCACAGTCCGGCCCGGCCCGCCGCTCCACCCACACTGTAGGAGAGGGTGCGCATCACTCAAGAGGTCAGCGAACTCACAGAGGGGGCAAGGCGGAGGGGCAGTGAACGCAACAAAATCACCCTCACACACAACCCAAGAAGCACACACTGATGTCCTCCTACGCGGCATCGAAAAAGTCGTCCTACGCGGCAACGAAAACCGTCCAGTCACCAACAAACGGCATTCGCAAACCAAAACTGCAATCGAACGTACCCCGATCGTTCAACACCCACACACACACACAAATATACCTACACATGCTCACACGATCTCCTCAGGCGCGTAGATGGCGGCAGTCTGCGGATCACGAATTACAATGGCAGACTACGCTCGAGGTGAGTTGACCACGATGTGTGGGAACGTGAAAGGTCCCGTTTAGCCGAGCGCTGCCAGCCGCCGATTAGCACGGGTCGGGCGCGCCCAAGGTAAAGACAGAACGACTGGAAGCAGTTCCAGGACACAGCTGGGTGTGAGGGAGAGGGGCACAGACACAGCGTTTCTTCAGCGGCGAGGTGACGACACCGACGCGATAGGGCAAGCTGGGACGCGCTTTACTGAAGGGGCCCTGGGACACACAAATAAATACACACAAATAACCGGATTCCCCATATTTTCCGATATTTTCTGGGTTTTTGTCTTCCCCCCTGCTTCCCATATTTTCCTATATGTTCTGGGGAATCGACGACTAATTGTGTCTGTGTGTTGTTTTACCCTCCTGATTTACCACCTGGCGAAGAAGATGAGTGAAATGGATGGGGCAGCACAGGGCAGGGCAGGACGCGAGAACGTGGTGTGCGCGCGCGGCAGCGCGCCCGAAGGGCTCAGCGGGAGCTGATCGACCCATCTCGACAGCGGCCCGTTCCCAGGCTTTGCGGCCGTCAGGATCCCAATGTTGGACTCTTCGTGCCCATCGCTCGCCACGCATGGGACACGCAGAGGTGTACCAATACTACATGTCCTCCTTGGAGGCGCGCCTCCGACCCGAACACATAGTATGCCCATCTTGTAGCATATCGTTTCCCGAGCGGTGTGGCCGGAAAGCGCCACGACGCACATATACTGTAAGATTTCTCCGTGAGCGCGTCGCCCCTGAGGGTGCGCCGCACATTTAGTATAAGTATGCTGGGGTGACGCCGAACTCGTTTCCTCCAAGATTTCACTCCAGCGCTGCGATCTGGAACAACGTTTCTCTGTCCAGCCGGGTATGCTGAGTTTCTCCCTGAATTGCCGTGCCTCAACCATGCCGCGCTTAAACCAATCACCCACGTCTCAATTTCACTTTCAGGTGAAATCACGCTTCGTCTGAGAATAGCCCTGATCATTTCATGTGCGCGGCCTTCAACCTCGAATCCCGCTCAACTGTCAGCCCCCAGCTGCCGCAGCCGTACAAGGCAGTAGGCGATACGATATGTACGCGGAAGAGGCCGAGCCGATCATGCAGTGCAATGCGACAGCAGGTAGGTGCAAAAGCGCATAGAAGCCTGGCCAATGAGTGTCGCTGCCCGACTGCAGAGGCGCTACACGATATAACGGGAAAGATAGCCGCGCTGCAGCGCGGGACCTGTGCGCCCCGCCGGTAACACCAGGTGTTGATGTAAGGCACCGCACTGACGCCTGGCGTGTACAGCAAGCCAGCCGCCCCAGCGCTGGAGAGAGACAGGTACGCCAGCGACTGGGCACAGACACCCATACTTCTTGGCGTCGCGGCCATACGCGCAGCGGCGCAGCGCAGAACGTCGGGCGAAGAGGCGCGCGCGGCCAGCCCAGGTCACGTGACGTGGGTATACTTTATCCGCCCATTGGGGATCGGCAGCATCACTCGCGGGGGGGTGACGCAAGGGGAGCAGCGGGGTCAGACACACATACACACACTCACGTTCGCGGCCCGATGAAGAAGAGCGAAGGAAATGCGGAGGAGCAGCGACGAGGAGCACCGACCTAAGGAACCCTCTCCTGTGACTGCATCGAAGCTGGACGGGGGGCAGTCGAGTTCAGTCATCGGCAGATCGGCAGACTGCAAACTCAAGCCAATCACTCAGCAAGGGCTCTCATAAGAGCAAACTCGGCGTCCTCCTTCTCTTCAAACTGCTCCTCCTGCTCCTTCTTCTGCTCCTCCTCCTCCTCTTCCTCCGCCTCCTCCTCCTCCGCCTCGCCTGGTCCTGCTCCTTATTCTTCTCCTCCTCCTCCTCATCATCATCCTCCTCCTCCTCCACCTCGTCCTCCTTCTCCTCCTCCTCCTCTTCCTCATCTTTCTCCTCCTTATCCACATCCTCCTCCTCCTCAACCTCCTCATCAGAATCATCAACATCGTCATCGTCATCATCATCATCATCATCATCATCATCATCATCATCATCATCATCATCATCATCATCATCATCATCATCATCATCATCATCAGTTTCATCATCATCATCAGCATCATCATCAGCATCATCATCATCATCATCATCAACAACAACATCATCATCATCACCACCACCACCATCATCATCATCATCATCAGCATCACCATCATCATATTAGTCATCATCATCAGCATCAGCATCAGCATCATCATCATCATCATCATCATCAGCAGCAGCATCATCATCATAATCATCGTCTTCGTCTTTTCTTCATCATGGTCTTCTTCCCCAGAATCATCATTATCATCATCGACATTATCTTCAGCATCAGCATCATCATGAGCATCATCATCAGCATCATCATCACCACCAGAATCATCATCATCACCATCACAATCCTCAGCATAATCATCAGCATCAGCATCAGCATCATCAGCAGCATATGCATCATCAACATCATCATAATAATCAGCACCATCATCATCATCATCATCATCAGCATCGTAATCAGCATCATCATCATCATCATCATCATCAGCATTATCATCATCATGTTCTGTATCATCGTCATCCTCATCAGCATCATCATCATCGTCAGCGTCATCATCATCAGCATCAGCATCAACATCAGCATCATCATCAGCATCATCAACATCGTCATCATCATCGACATCATCATCATCATCCTCATCACCATCCGTAACCTCATCCTCATCTCCATCCTCATCCTCATCATAATCATCCTCATCATAATCATCCTCATCATCATCGTCATTATCTCATCATCATCATCATCCTCATCATCCTCATCATCCTCATCATCCTCAGTATCATCCTCATCCTTATCCTCGTCCTCATCATCATCATCATCATCATCATCATCATCATCAGCAGCAGCAGCATCAGCATCAGCATCAGCATCAGCATCAGCATCAGCATCATCATCATCATCATCATCATCATCATCATCATCATCATCATCATCATCATCATCATCATCTTAGCCAGCATCGTCATCATCATCCGCCTTCTTCTCCTCCTCCTCCTCCTTCTCCTCTTAATCCTCCGCCTCCTCCGCATCCGCCTCTGCCCTCTTCCTCCGTCCTCCTACACCTCCGAAAGGGGGTGGTCGCCGTAGGAGCCGGCGTCGCGGGTAGGTCCACGCTCAGGGCCACCTCTGCGGCGCGCACGGCGCTGCGCAGAGCGTCCCGCCCTCGCCGACGTCCTCGTCGTCGTCGTAATCGTCGTCGTCGTCGTCGTCGTCGTCGTCGTCGTTGCAGTCCAAGGCATCTGGAGACCTCTGGAGACCTCTGGAGACTTCGGCAGACTCCAGCGACCGATCCCTCATTTTCCTCCTCCTGCTCCACCTCCTCCTCCTCCTCCTCCTCCTCCTCCTCCTCCTCCTCCTCCTCCTCACCCCACCTCCTCCACCTCCTCCTCCTCTCCTCCTCCTCGTCCTCCTCCTCCTCTCCACCTCCTGCTCCTCTCCTCCTCCTCCTCTCCTCCTCCTCCTCCTCATCCTCCTCATTATCATGAACAAGAAAACTCCACATATTCCATATCATGCATCATCATCATCTCATCATCATCATCCATCACATCATCATCATCATCATCATCATCATCATCATCATCATCATCATCATCATCATCATCCTCACATCATCATCATCATCATCATCATCATCATCATCATCATCATCATCATCATCATCATCATCATCATCATCATCATCATCATCATCCATCATCATCATCATCATCATCATCATCATCAGCATCATCAACATCGTCATCATCATAGTCATCATCATCCTCATCATCATCATCATCGTCACCATCACCATCACCATCATGATCACCATCACCATCTCCATCATGGTCATCATCATCATCATCACCACCACCACGGGCACCATCATTGTCGTCATCATCATAATCATCATCAGAATCATCATCAGAATCATCATCGTCATCGTCTTCGTCATCGTCAGCATGAACAGCACCATCATGATCCTCATCCTCATCATCACTACCATCACCATCATCATCATCATCATCATCATCATCATCATCATCATCATCATCATCATCTAAGTCACCATCATCATAATAATCGACAGCCGTATCATCATCATCGTAAACATAACGCCCTCTTCAACATAAACCACATATTGTTCCGAATCAACATCGCCCTCATCGTCGTCATCATCATCGACATCATCATCACTCACCAGCATCCGCATCATCATCGTCATCATCATCAGCATCATCAACATCAGAAGCATCATCATCCCCGTCGTGATCATCATCATCATCCCCATCGTCATCAACATCAGTATCATTGACAGCATCAGCATCATCATCAATCACCATCATCATCATCACCAGCATTATCGTCAGCATCATCGTAATCATCATCAATATCATCAGCTGGTGTCCTCAACCTAACCGACAACATCGTCATCATCATCATCAGCAGCAGCATCAGCAGCATCACCATCATCATCATCTTCATCATCATTATCATCATCATCATCATCATCATCAACAACAGCGGCATCAGCATCATCATAAAGAAACATCATCATCAGCATCATCATGTTCATCATCATCATCATCATTGCCATCGTCATCAGCATCATCACCATCGTCATCATCAGCATCAGCAATGTGATCGTCATCACAATCAGCATGATTGTCGTCATCAGCATCGCCAGTATCACCATATCACATCATATCAAAGCATGACATGCCGTAACAAATCCACCTAGACCATACCATTAAGCAGCATGTCATGCCATGACATACCATGTTAGAGCATACCATCGTCCTACTAATGGTCAGCCTCGTCATCATCATCATCATCATCATCATCATCATCATCCTCATCATCATCATCACCATCAGCATCATCAACAACAACAACAACAACAACAACACATTCGCCAGCATCATCGACAGCATAATCATCGCCACCGACCTCCTCACATTCTCATCATCAGCATCGCCAACAGCATCCGTACCGTCAGCATCATCAGCATCATCATCATCATGATCAACATCATCATCAGCAGCTTCATCATCACTATCATTATCATCATCAGCAGCATCATCATGATCATCATAAACATTAGCATCATCACCATCGTCATCATCGTCGTTATCGTCGTCGTCATCGTCGCCACCGTCATCGTGGTCATCCTGAGAGTCATCACCTCAGCATCATCATCATCAGCATCATCGTCATCATCAGCATCAGCATCAGCATCAGCAGCATCTTCACTGGTGCCATCGGCATCATCACCAGCATAAACAGCATACGTATGTATCATCGCCATCGGCATCAACATCCTCAGCATCGTCATCGTCCCCATTATCATCCTTGTCATGGCCACCGTCGCATCATCATCATCATCATCATCATCATCATCATCATCATCATCATCATCATCATCATCATCATCATCATAATCATCGTCATCATCATCATCATCATCATCACCAGCATCATCGTCGTCGTCATCGTCATCGTCATCGTCATCACCACTACCACCACCGCCATCATCATCATCATTGTCGTCGTCGTCGTGATCGTCGTCATCGTCATCGTCATCGTCATCGTCGTCGTCGATATCATGATCATCCTCATTATCATCATAATCATCATCGTCCTCAGCAGCACTACAGTCATCATAGTCATCAACATGAGCGTCTACAGTATCGCCATCATCATCGGCATCATCAGCACCACCAATCACCACCAGCAACATCATAATCGATATCATGAGCAGCACCGGCATCGTCATCATACACATCATCATGATCATAATTAATCATCATCATCATCATCATCATCATCATCATCATCATCATCATCATCATCGTCAGCATCATCATCATCATCATCATCATCATCATCATCATCAGTATAATCATCATCGTCGTCATCATCATCAGCATCATCATCAGCATCATCATCCTCAGCAGCATCGTCATCATTATCATCATCACCACCACCATCAGCAGCAGCATCGTCAGCATCATCGTCGTCGTTATCGTCGTCGTTATCGTCGTCATCGTCACTGTCATCATCGTTCTCGCTGTGGCCGTCGTCGGCGTCATTGTCGTCGACATCAAGGATCCTCCTCCCCCTCTGCATGGTTGCGGAAGGGTGGTGTTGGAATGACGGAACCAAGCCCATATGGTGTAAACCGCAAGGGGTTCGGCATATTATGCCCATCCCATTGCCAGACCAGTGCGAGCAAGACCAGCAACACCACGCTGACCAACACGTCGGAGTGGCAGTGGCACTAGCGAAAGATCAGCAGCACCGCCACCGCTGTGACTAGCACATCGGTGCGCAGCACAAGCGCAACCAGCACCACGATCCTTTGCAGCGACACCAGCGGCACTGAGCAAACCAGCAAGTCGGCGCGCAGGCAGCAGCACTAGCGAGAGCAGCAGCACCAAGATTGTCGGCACGAGTGGGCCGAACAATACCGTAGCGTTGGAAAAGGCGTTGGCAAAAAGAGCACCGCGAACCTCATAAGAATAACTGCAACCAGTAGCGCCTGTATGACCAAGACATTAACGATCAATATGGGGAGGCGCAGCTACACAAGCCTTCCCAGCGTAAGATGAACAAGGACGATTGAGGCCAGCAGTACCACGTAAAGCAGCTCCGGCGAGCCGATGGGCAGCACAACTCCCAGCAGCCCCACTGAGCACCTCGGTGTCAGCGTCACTCTGACGAGCACGTCGGAGGGCAGCACCACTCGCAACAGTCCGAGAGCAAGCAGCCGCACCACTGTGACTGGCACGAGTGGGGCCCGCAGCACCAACGAGCCAAGTACAGGCGAGAGCAGCAGCAGCAGCAGCAGCAGCACCACCAGCCTTACCAGCACGACAGGGACGAGCAAGGAGCAGCACCACCGACGCTTGCAGCCCCACTGTGACCCCCGCGTCGGTCATCATCGGCACCCCGAGAAGCGCCATGGCAGCACCACTCCCACGAGGACCACCACGAAGAGCAGCATGCGCTGAGGCAAGGCCAGCGGCGCCCAGAAACTTCACCACGAGCCGAGTCCTCTGCACCGCTCCCGCGAGCCTCGCGGCGACAGCG